ATAGAAATTAGAATTTCGTTTCCATTTGAGCTGAGATATAATGATAATGATCATAGGAGCACGTAGTTTTATTTTATTTTTTTTTATTTGATATGATTTAACAAATTGAAACTGAACTTGGAGATTGTAATTGTTTATATTTATATTTTAAAAATTTTACAATTCTTATATATTTAATTTACTTTAAAAATTAATTGATTGTTCAACTTCACATAACACGTTTTACCTGATAATATAATATTTCAAAATTTTACAAGTAGTATAAAAGATCTTACAAGCACAAAATTACAGCTCCATAAAAAAGAACTTACTTTTTAATAAGTCAATAATAGCCTGGCAAATGTAAAAACTAGAAAACACGTCATGAATACTACAAAATATGTATATTAAAGCTCAAATATCCTAAATAATATGGCTATATAATAATAGAAGTATATTCCCAAAAATATTTTTTTTTTATTAATATTAAATTTTTTTTTTATTTTAAAGGAACTAATTAAAAATCTTGTTAAATTAGAAAGTAATGGTAAAAGTTATTTTTCAGCTAGTTGCCTTTTCAAAGTAAGCTCACAGTCAAGTTTAAGCAAATCAACTCACCGAACTGGACTCAACTGAATTAATTTGTGCACGCACACTCACACACGTGCATATGTGCACATACAGTGCATGCAGTAAATCTCTGAACATTTGAACTAGGCAAAAACCTTAACGAAAAATTCATCATACGCCGCATTGGCCGCCGTTCGCCTCGCTGCCCAATGGCGTTGGCGCCGCATGCGTGGCATGTGGCTGCGGAATGTGTGGCGCTTGCTGGCCACCAGTGAGTGAGGATTGCCAAGGGCAAGTCACACACACACACACACAGCATGCCAGGGACGACAGTTGAATTACGGGTTTTGTTGTTATTTCTGTTGTTGTTGTTGCTTCTGTTGTCGTGGCTGTTGCTGCCTTTTTTGTGCACAATTGGCGCTTTGGCTAGGCGCGTTACAATTCGAGGCGATTTATTGTTGGAAATATTTTGTATGCTGCTTATTGAAATGCAGGCAGGACCCAGGCAAGTGAGCCCCTTCGGCTAGACCTTCGCCCACCCCCTTGCGAACTATAACAGTTAGAGCAAACAAAGCGGCGGTTGCTGCCGGGCAAAGCAAATAGCAGCACTTGAAGCAGCCACATCTTGCAGCGTGAAGAACATGGCCAACCCCCTCCTGCCTCTTGCCGCCCTGCTCTAACTACATTGAGCCCTGCAGCGTGGACCGCAGCGACGCCTCCTGCTGCCACGTTTGGCTGCCACACTATAAATATAACATTAATTTTTATGTTTTCATATTTAGCAACGCTTCAGTAAGCACACACACACACAGACACACACTCACATTCACACATACGCAAACACAGTCGCCTTATTGCCGTAGTTTTAGATAAAGCTCATTGAATGACGTTTATGAGCGATATCGCTGGCGCTTGCGCTGGCTGCGCAGTCAGCGCTGACGTCGCTGTGTGCGCAACATGCGCTGTTATGGCCTGTTAACAGCACTGTTAATGGCCAGCATCCACTGCTGTTAGCGCGCTGCTGTCGACGTCGGCGCTGACGTCGCGATGTCTGGTTGGGCTGCGCGGTCTTCTATTGTCATTTTGGCACATGTGAAAATTTACCGTTACTTCTTAGCCGGCGCTTCATTCATTCATTCGCTGTTTACATTCCGCTTTGCGTTCGTGCACATTTTTCGTCGAGTCTAACGGTTTTTGGTTGGCCCATTGCAATTTTAATTGCATTAGCCAAGAGTAATCGGATAACGGGATCGAAAATAGTTTGTTGTTGTTCGAGTAGTAGTAGAAGAAGAAGAAGCAGTCAAAGATGTAAAAAAAAAAAATTAAAAATAATTTCATAGTAATTATTGAAAAATAAAACTGTCTTTAAAAAAAAAGAAAGTAAAATAAAACGAAACAAAAAAAATTTAGACAACTGTTGTTATTTAGACAACAAGTCAAAATTTAAAGTGATTTTTTTTTTTTTTCAAACTTAAGATCGATCGACTTTACTATTAAATAATATACATATAAATAAAATATATATAATTAAAACATAAATATAATTAAATAATTAAAGGAAAATTTTGATAGAAATATATTTGTTCTTACTATATTTTAAAATTGATTATAACTAACAAATTATATCGAAGCTTTCTCACTTTTTAATATTGAATGCTTATAGAATTATAATTCTAATGTACAGTCCTATAAAGAAATCAATTTAGTGTCTTTAATTAATGACTAAGTAAAATGTAAAAATAATAAAAAAAAAAAAAAAAAAATGCAAAATCCAAAACTTAAAACCTGAAGCAGCAAATGATGGAAGATTTCATTAAAGACCTTTCTAACAAGTCACTTAACATTCGGAATTGATAAGTAAAGAGCCTCTCACGAACACATTTCCGCTGTTAAATAGAAGTGCATATAGTTCATGAAATAATTACGTGATTTTACAGAATAAAAAATGCGATAGGAATAGGTGAATGTTGTTACATTTTTGCTATCAAATAATTCATGTATATGTTTTTTATTTTTTATTTATTCAAGAACTCTTAAGGTTCGATTATTAGCCATATCATATTTATATTCGTTGATCTGCGTCTATCTCTAATTTTAACTATATTTCATTGTATATCTGTTTACTTATGGTTATCTGCCCCATAGATAGATAGATTTCAGTTAAGCCCAAACAAAACTTCAGAAAACGAGGTGTACTGAGGGTTGGCGATAAGGGGCGTGCTCAACTCGAACACACGTCCGCTGCGATAAACTGCAGTTAAGTGCAGAATGAGAGCGATAGGCAGGGGGTGGGTGGAGGCTCGTTAATATTGTTGAATGCGATTTACCAGCGATTTTTAACGCCTGCAATTAGAAACGCCGACAAATTGAAAACTAAGCACAGTGACTGCAGTGAGCTAGAAAGAGAGAGGCGATGCGCACGAGACAGAGTGAAGGGCTAGGGCTCTGTCAACGGCAAACAGAGAGAGCTCCACTTGAAAAATGATTTACACACGTAAATCATAAATTACGCACTTGAAGTGGATGACAAATGCAGATGTTAGATGATGCTAGATGGAGAGTAGAGACGGGAGTGTTTCGACTATATCAACGAGCTATCATAGTAGGGAACAGGCGATTTATCCTGCTGCCAGTTGGAAATCTATCTATTTACCTGGCCAGTTAATCCAGTTATCGAAGAGCCTCTTATCGAATATGACGTCAGGTTTTAACTTTTCAGTTCGATTCGATGCCATTCGAAAGGCAACAAATGCTAATAGTTCCCCCAAAACGATTTCAGTTCGCGTCGGTCATTGCTGGGCATCGCATCACATCGCATCGGATCGGATCGTCAAGTAACTGGCCGGGAATTCACAGTTATAGCTGGCTATAATATCTCAAATCTTTAATTAAAAAACGCTGACGTCTTTCCGTTTCGCACTTAATTAAAGATCCCATTTGCAAATCCGATAAAACGTGGATAAACACTTCAATATATAGACACATATATAGCTTATCGAACTTATCTCTTACAATGCATTTAAGTGATTTGCTCAAATTAATTTTCGTAGTGCTCAGTTCTGTTCAAGGTTAGTATTGTAATCCTATCGACCATACAATCATACTATCAGGTTATTGACTCTCGTGTACTTCAGAATGCCTTGCAAGGATTGTGCGCAATTTAAATTACGAGCTGATAATTCATATATTTATAGATACCATGTATCATAAATTTAATAAGTAATACGCTTCAGATGTTGTTGATAATACTCACACTAAAGTCTGCAAAACAGATGAATAGACTTTGCTAAGGAGACTCTTTCACTTTGGAATTCTCAATTGATTCCGGAATTATAAATTTACTGCTGTTTAATCTTAAGAAATTATCTGATTCCGGTATGGAAAAATACTAGCAAATGGATTATATAATATATTATATAATATTTGTGTTCCACTTTCGCTTAATATGAATACGTAGATTCACGAATTTGAATTTCTTATCTATCTATGTACTTAGATTAGGAAAACAAAAATTTATAAATAAAATATACAGACTCTTAGAACTATTATCAATTCATATACTTTTTTTTTTTTTTTTTCAATACATAATTTGGCAGAAGCTGTCAAATAATAATTAATTTTCGTCATGGCCTCTCTTCTCTTTCATTCACATCATTTACGAGTCTCCAATCAGCACTTCATTCACAAATAGATAAGCTGGCAGAGCGCGTTTACTATTTATGATTTACTATTTATACTACTTTTCCCACGCATTTATCACCTTGCTTGCGCTCATCAGATGAGCGCCGATACAGCTTGAGAGTATCAGAAGCAACTAAATCAATCGCACTCTCGCATGGGCTGGTTCAACCTACCGCACCGGTCGTGTGACACCAGAAACTCACCACACCTAAGAGGCGCTCATCAATTGATCTGCGCAAGAGGCAATGAAAGCATCAGAAAAGAGCAACAGATCAAGAAAAGAGAGAGAGAGAGAGAGAGAGAGAGCGTGGAATAGTTGGAGTTTCTGGCGTGCCTCTCCTTCGTTTCTGGTTCGATTCTGGGCACTGTGATAAGCCGCTTTAAAAATACCTAAATAAATCCTAAATGCACCGAAGTTCAACTACTCTGACTGATCATAATACAACTTATTTTTTTTTTTAGAGGCCCTCAATCATATGGTGCTACTACCTAAAGAGGTTTACAGTTCAGCGATCAATACGATGAGATCTATAAAGTAACTCGACTTAACAATTCCCACAAATGTCGCCAGAAAAACACAAGACCCCACACTCACACAGGGTATATATAAACTGAGCAACTGTGTAACAGCATGCGCAGCTCGATCACAAACAGGTGGCTGGTGGGAACGGGGGGCGGCGCTGTGCGGCGGGGGGCGTGTCGTTGTGTTCGATGACAATTTGCTTAAATGTGCTGGCAAATTCTCAAAATGAATTCAGTTGAGAAATGCGCGTTGTACGAGGCGGCAGCGTCTTAAGCATATAGACAAGCCACATACAATCTATACTCGCAGAACTGTGTGTAAATATAGTAACAACTGCAATGACAACAACTACAACAACAACAACAGCAATAGCAACAACAATAACAAGCACAGCACGTGCCAAAGAAAATACGCGCCTTGAAAATTTACTGGCAATTGATAAGCGAAACGACGCGATCCTTTTCATAACTCTTCAGCTTTGCGCGGTTTTATCAGCGTTTAAAAACGCGTGCCATAAACAAACAACAGCAACAATTGTTTTTAATTAATGAAAACAAAAATTGCGATAAATATTTAAAAATTGGACAAGTTCTTATGGCAATCGCCTCATACACTTACCCCCTATTGCTCTCTCTATCTCACTCTCTCGCACGCGATCTCTCTCTATCTTTCAGTCATATATTTTGTTTAATTTTGCTACGTCAACAGAAATGTTGTTGTTTTTGTTTTCACCTTCTTTTTGTCTTTTTGGCGACCTGTTGTGCGTGCGTATCGTACGATATTTTGCTTTTGCTTTTGTTGTTATAACTGTAGGTTTATTTCAACCAGTTTTTAGTTGTGGTTGTTGTTGTTATTGCTGCATTTTTGGTTAACTTTTTGGCCGGCTGCTATCGACGCGTCTGCTGCACGATTTGAGACGCGCGCTCTTTTACCAGTGTGTGCGTGCGTGCGTGCGTGCGTGTGTGTGTGTGCATGCTTATCTGTGTATTTATTTTGGCAACAGTTTTCAATGTTGTGTGATTTATTTTGGCTATTGAAAATCGGCGCAGACAACGTCCACTTGATTAGATAATAATCTGTGTTTGCTTCCTGCTAGCGTTATTAAAGGCCGAACTCTCCATTCTATATAGGCTCTTGAAACTTCATGTAAATCAATTCAAAGTGAATATAATTATAGAGCTATACTAACAACAACAACTATTGACGATTTTAGAAACTGAGAAACTGCTTCGTTAAGCGATTGAAAAACTAAGCGCGAAACCGCAAGCTGAGTGCATTAAATAGACAAAGTTCATACCATGGCCATAGAGTTACGCTCTACGACCACTCTAAGTGATATCATTACAACGGCAAAAGCAACAACTGCAACAACAACTAGCGGCGACAGCAACAACAACAACAACGGCAGCAACAACTTTAACCACTTGCAACAGCTGTTCGCCTGCATCTGCGCAAATGCGAATCTCGTGCTCTTCACACTGATGTTAGCGCTGGGCAAATGCTGCACTGCCACGCCCACAAATGCGGCCAATCTAACGCATATGGAACAACAAGTGCTGCCTCCGACAGATGGCGCCACACTGATCAAGCATCTCGACGGCAAGAGCATCCTAAGCATGGGCTTCAAGTTCCTCAACGTATCCGGAAAAATCGGCACGCCGCTGGGCATAGGTGAGAGAAACAGGCTAACAGTGGTGGGAGCATGTGGGGGGTGGTAGGCAAAGCGGCAAGAGGCGGTCTGCACAGTTTGTTTTTAGCCAGACTGTGCTAATTTTAGCGCGGAATTCAAGTCGTCGTACGAAATGGTGCACCCGGCTCCATGTTCGGCCAAGTGAACTGACGAATGCGTTGCAAACGCAAAATAAATTAAAATCTATAACCGACTGCATAATACTCTCTCTTGTATAAGAGAACGTTCTCTTTTATTTCAAGACCAAAATTACCATTTTTCTGTTTGACTAATATATGTAAAAGCACAGCTTTAGATTCTCAAATAATATAAGAATGTTTTCATAGAAATACCCTGCACTTTTTTACATTATTCGATACGTATATATACCTACGAAATTTACTAAGTTATATGAAAAGTACTATTTAAATTTGAATTTTATTTATATACATTTTAACAAAACTTCACTGAAAACAATTTAAACTTTTATTGAATATTCGATTGAGTTTTTCTATGAAAAATTTTGTTTTGCAACTTCCGGAGGGTCTACTGTATGGGTAGCCTGCATTCTTTAGTCTTTGATAAGGGGAATTTCTTTATGGCATTGGCTATTACCTTGGGGTATTCCGGGTCATAAATGCCTTTAAATCAAAACACCTGCTCGAGCAAGGATTTGTTTTGGTATTAAGATTATCTTATCATTGTCGCCAATTTTATGATTTATTTTGATTACTGTGACGTTTTTTCGCATGGATTTCACAATTGAACAATTTTTATATCAAGCGTCGCAATTTTATATTATTGAAGGTCATGGAATCAAGTGTTTAACAACAAACTGATTTGGCTTTAATATTTTATAGAAGGCAAAGACTTCATGTATATAATATTTATTCGTTTTCCATATTTTTCATATATTTATTTCAACAAATACTACTTGGAAATGTGCACAAAATACATCCGAATTTTATTTATAACTTTTAAAAAACATTTGTATACTTTTCGCTGGCTTTGCCCGCTGCATTTTGGACTTTGGTCGAACACTTTGAAGATCGTAAATAAAATTCTTGACATATATCCAAATGGCGCATTTTGGCGTTGTTTACCTAGCCTAGGCGCCAATTCTACGTAGGTTTGCCAAAAAAAGAGGTCATCATGACGCATTGAGAGTGTATATAAATGTGTCGTGCTGTGTCTCTGAGCCCAATGTCCGTCAATTGCAGAGTATCTCAAGTGTCGAGATGAAATCTAAAAGATACACGACTAACTATATATGCCCGTTTGACGAGCCCCCCAAAAAAGATTTATTTTTATTGCGTTCTGCTGAAAGCCAATCATGTTCTCTCCTCAAAATTTACTTATAATATATATATATATATATATATATATATATATATATATATATATATATTATATTATATATATATATATATATTATTTTTTCTTTGTTTGTATAAGTATATTCTATTATGCTCTATTCACTTATATTTTGGTCTCTCTATTTTGTTCGCCAATTTTTTTCTGTTCTGATGAACAGCTCTATAAGATTCATGTCGCAACAAATTTATACAAACGCCGCTGCAAGGTCGCAATGGGAAACTGTTTTTATTTTTATGTGAATACCGTGTATTTATTGCAGATGGGGTATATTGCAATTGGTCTAGGTTTTGTAGGTCTATTATCTATAATTAACTCAAGAATTTTAAGAACTACAACTGTCAAATTTGTAGTATTTCTGCAATATGCACTTAGAGTTTATACCTTTTATTTATCTCAAAACGTAATACTTTTTGGTAAGCGAAAAATACTTTAAATGGGCTTTAGAACTTCTACTCAAGGTATCTTTGAGTCTTGCACTTATGTAATACTTGAATTGTTCATATATGTATGTATATAATATATTATCGATGCACATATATCATTATTAGATATATGTATATATATATATATATATATATATATATATATATATATAAATATATATATATATATATTTTTTTTTAATTTGTTGCCTCATTTGCTTTTCATGCTGTTTGATTTTGGCATTAATTAATGCACGATGCCAGCAATGTACTAAATCTAGTATATTCAACTAGTTTTATGTCAACAACAACAGCAAATATGTTAAATAGTGGGCGTGTTCTTCGCTCGTTGCGACTTATATAAATCAAGAACCTGATGCAGTTGCCTCTAATTGTTTTGTTGTTGTTTTTTCTTTTCTTTTTTTCAATTACAACGACAACAACAATGAAAACAATCACAATTAATCTATCTTGATTGTTTTGGTCTGCGCTGAAGGGGCGTGATTACAGCCAACTTCATTTAACTTTATACACACGTCTCTCTGTCTCTCACTCTCTTTGTCTCTCTCTCTCTCTCTCTCTCTCTCTCTCTCTCTCTCTCTCTCTCTCTCTCTCTCTCTCTCTCTCTCTCTCTCTCTCTCTATCTCCCTCTATCTGTTCAAACACTATGCGCCTCAATAAAAAAAATCGCTATAATTTAATTGACATTGAACTTGAGCTTAGCTGGCAGCATAGCGATAAGCATCCCATTAGAAATAAATTAATATTAATTAGCACATCAACGCAGCGACGCACTGATTAAACTAGAAAATTTTCCCAGCCTATTGCTACATTTATCGACCGCAGACATGCAAATGCTATCGATATCGGTATGTGAACGTCTATCCCATGGCAACAATCTAATAATGCGAATAATTTTATGCTACGCACTAGACGTCATATATAGTTCGACTAGATCAACCATGGGCCAAGCTTATCTACAGCCGTCTGGCAAAGTCGTACGACTCTTATCAGCCTATTGTCTGAACATTGCAAAATCTGACACGATAAAGCTTATTGAAATTTTCATATGACCAGACTATAATATATGCATGCATATATTAATTTCCCCTTAACATTTTTAATATCAAGTCGAGTCAAGTTTTTGTGAGAACCCGTTTTAGTCAAACACTTGAGGCCCAGACCTTTCGATAACATTCCATATGTTACATTTATGTTAAACAGTTAGTTTCAATACAATTTCCTGGCCCACTTAACTAGATTTTTGTTTATGCTGTAGTTCGCTCAATGTTTTTCCTATTTAGCTCTAATTTAGTAATGCCTATCATATAAATATGTATGTGTGCAGTGATTGAAAAGTACAAGTACAATGATTCAATAATAACGACCTTTTTCCTCTACTGAATTCTGTTGTTGCTGATCTGCATAACTTTCAAATAAATATAACTATTAGCTCCAACCTGCTATAACATATCTAGAACTGTTTAACCAACTCTCTTTGGTTAATTTCTATATTGGCCCTTCTGCATCTCGAGTTGATTGTTTTGCATATGGGTCAAGCTGTACATTGCGTGGACTTTAAAGTTAGCTTAAACCATATTCTATGCAGGCACAGCAGTCATTGTAATTCAATATTGAACAGAGCAATATTTGTTTTTACTCACGCGTATACATGATGCTCGTAAATTTGTATAAATCAATTGAAATATATATTTATATACATATATAATTATGACATGTGCTTTGTTTATTTTGCTTCATTCATAATTGAAAACAATTTTCAGTCTTTGCGCTGCAATTGATTTGACCTTATTGATTGATGGCATTTGGTAAAATGCACTCGATGTCGCTGTTGTTGTGGAAAGAATAAACAACAATGACAAACAATGGCGTAAACAATGGTTATTAAATTATTTATGCATAAGTTTTGATTAAACGAATAATTATGATTGGTTTGGGCAAGCAGGCAAAAAGAATTTCCTGTCAATGACAGACTTTGGACAGCAAAAAACCCTTATCAACATAAATGGGTGGCCTCTGCAGTGTGCGTGCTTGAATTTGTGTGTGTGTGAGTCCTTGTTTATACAACACATTGGTAATCCATAACTTTTTTGCGCTTGTCACATACTTCTATTTCGCATCCAAGAGCTGTTGACATTTTCCTAACCGCTGTTTTATTCCTATTCTTATTATTATATATTGTATTTATAGCCATGTATGTGTGTGTATGTGTGTGTGTGGGTAGGGGTGGGCACACCTCGACCGCAACTTGTAACCCAAGATGAAAAATTGTCAAGCTGCAAAGTTTTGTATTATTTTGTTGCTGTCATTTTTGTTGATTAAAACTCCAGCAATGTGAGATGCGTCGGTATGTGTGTGTGTATATATATACGCAAATGATTTCAACAAACTCATGTGTATGTACACATGTACATATACGTATATATATGCTGGCGTCTGTTCTTGATTGTTTTGAAGTTTTAAGCCCTAATCAATTTGGGCTCTTTGAGCCACCTCCAAAGGGCCGTTTTATTTGGGCTTTGTTCTATACGCTTTGTAAACGTATATTTTGATTTTCCCATGCAGTATGGAGAGCTTTGAGAATTCCTGGTAAAGTTATCATCCGTGAAATATTTTAGATAAATTATTGAATTATAAAATATTTTAAGCATTATTCTTTTTTATTATTTTCATTACATTATGCTAAAATATAGCATGCACATATTCATATAAAATCAAGAGTATAGAATTATCGGTTATCCTTCCAATATTTTCATACTCATTTTTTTTATCGTTTCCTTTGCTTACGTGATGTTTTTTTGTTTTAATGAGAAAACTTTTAGCAGCTTACGCTAAGCTTAAAGAACAATCAAGAACGAAAGCATAATTAGCTTGAATCGGCTGTTTGCACTACTTATCATTAACTCCCAGTTGGTCTCTCTCTATCTCTATCTCTCTCTTTCTCTCTCTTTGTTTTTGCAGCCCAATCGCTACACACCAAATGCGATGAGAAGCAATTTGAATGCAACAACGGCGCCTGTATACCCATTCGATTCGTTTGCGATGGCGATGCGGACTGCGCGGACCACAGTGACGAGCAGGTGAACGAGTGCAAATTTCGCGGTGAGTCGATCTACAAATGACATTGCATAGTTTTAGGCGCCGCCGGCAACAGTCGCGTCCATCAAAGTGAGTGCGACGCAACGAAAAATCAATCAAAATGCGAAACGAGTTTCTGATTGGGGCAGCTCAAAAAAGAGAAGGGGCTGGGGGACTGCGGGACTGCGGGCTGGGAGCTGAGAGGCTGTCTGCCGGACAGCTGACCAAAACTGTGCCAGGGCAGTGCGCTCATTAAGTCGCTAAGCATTGGCGCTTAACTGTAATTGCAACGCAATTTTTGCTGACTGCCGCATGCAACGTTGTTGCATCAGCAATGAAAATTTATCAACGCTGCAAATTTGACGCACGAGACTTTTTATGCGTCGCAAGTTTAACATAAAAGGAAACTATGTGAGGTCGTCTGCTTTATTTTATCTCTCAATACTTGTGCCAGACACAAAAAAAAATAAAAATAAAAATGCAATGTGAATGAGAATAAGTATGCATTATATATATATATATATATGTATGTATATAATGCATACTTATTCTCATTCATATATATATATATATATATATATATATATATATATATATATATATATATTTTTTTTTTTTTTTTTTTTTTTTTATAAATAGAGAGTGAACGTAAAATGCTGGAGGGGTTAAAGGAAAGCCCTGCATAAAAATGCGCACAATGCAGTTGCTTGTTGTTGTTGCTGTTGCTGTTGCTATCTCCCTTGCTCTTGCTGCGCATAACTTAATTTTTATGCAATCTTTTCTGAAGGGCAACACTTTCAAGCAGCGAAATTGATAATGTGCCTCAAAGGCAACAAGAAAAGAAAACAGCTCGAGATTTGCTGTAAAAAATGAACACTGTTGCAGCATAATGAGCATTAAGGGCTAATATACAAATAAAAGGCAAAGAGCACACAAGAAAATGCAAAAAAAAAAAGTGGATAAAATACAACTTTATAATAGCTAGTTTAAATTATTTTAGCATCAGCTCTTCTGAAAGAAAATCAATAAAACTATGTTGTTGAAATTTATCATTAACCTTAACATATTTAAGAAAACAATATTAGGGGCAAAGCTTGAGCTAATTATTATTAACTTTCAATTTTTGTATTAAATATGTATTTGCTTGAATGTTATAAAAGAGCAAAAATTAAAGCAGAAAAATTATTAAATTTGAACAATCAAATATGCCCAGCTAAAAATTAAATTAGGCAGTCATTTAGTTGATATTTATTAATCAAAATTTAATATTTAAATTTGTGTTAGATTGTTAATATTTCATGTTACAAGATTCCAAAGATATTATTTAAATTAGAATTCATATTAAAACAGTTTTCTTGAGTTTATTTTAAATTTAATTCAGTTACTAAATTATTTCTCGTTATTTGATATGCCAAAATAATTTGGTTTAACTTCTGTTGGGTATTTGATATCAACCTCTGTGGAGCAGCGAAATCGTCGTCCTTATAATGAGCATAAGTCCTTAAGCTCATTTGGCTCAATCGCTTATGTATCATTACCAAATCAGTACGCAGCTGAACATAAAATCATTGCAATATTCACAAAGACGCCCAGACGAGTGCCCGGCTTTTCACTCACAACAAAACTTGAGTTGAGGCGAGATGAAATGAGAGGAAAACTCACTCGATATTTTGCGCTCGACTCGCCTAGCCGCTTGTTGGACTGGGAGTGAAAGCTTGCGCTGAGATTTGCGATTTGAGATTTGAGTTGAGTCTGGCGTTGCGAGAGAAGCTGTGAAGCAGCGCTTGGCACTAGTTTTTAAGGACTGCCAGCACGCAGCTGTCCACTCAGTTGGCGGCGAACTTCTCAAGCAAACGGACGGTGCGAGCTAAGGGAAGACCCCAAAAAACCGATTCTCGGCCGTGTGAAAAACCAATATAAATACTAAATAACAGTAAAGCCGAACTAAACTGAAAACAGTGCGAAAAAGTAAGCGTAAAATTGCCAGCAAAATAACAAATTTGTGCGCGAAAGAAAGAAAAGCAAAAATATTTAAATATATCCCATTGAAGTGTCCTCGAAATGCGGTGCCTTAGCAAACAATCGAATTACTCCTGCCAGATCCTTTGAAGTTATGCAAAGTGTTTTTCCGACAAAGTGGCAAAGCACCGAAAAGCTTGTTAGAAATTTTCTGTGTGCGAACTGCTCCTTATTTTCGGTTGTTTTTTTTTTATCAATCTTTTCATTTTTTTATTTTTTGGGTCCTTTTTGTGGGCAGGTCCTGTGTAAAGTCGTTTGCCGCTGTCAGACTAATCGGCAATGTCCATCTGCGTGCCGTTTTGCGGGCCGAGGCTATTTAAATTGCAGACTTTCTGTCCGATTTGAGCGTTTTCATTTATCATTTATCATTTTGCTATGGCTCGCATTAAATGTTTTCCCTCAATTTCCCCCAATATTTGCCCGATGCCATTTATCTAGGCGCTGTGAAATTCACTGCCCTGACTTCTGACAGTGGTTTTGTTAAATGTGAACTTGAAAATGATGTGGCACGGAAATTATGCAATCAATTTGTGCAACTCGACTGACTGCCCTCGAATTAACACCGCGAGCATTTCGAGGACCCAAGTGAACAAGTTGTCCACTCTATGCAAATCAAAATTAATTGCTTGTTTACCTTCATTTTTTTTAATACAAAATTCAAGAGCTTCTCGCAACATGGGGCACATTTGGTGTTTGTTATTTGTGTCCAGTTTGCTGCACACTCAAAGCCACAGCCTGGGCGCAATGGTTACTGAGCACGGTATGACAATTGTTTTTATTGCTATATATGTATGTATAAGTGAAATAATTAAAAATATTACTCTAAAACTTAAGGCGACATATGTGAATTAAGCTACAATTAAACTGAGACTAATTGAAATTTTTACAAATTTTAGATATAGACTTAATTATAGCATATAAATTATGTTTAATTAGCCAAAGTTACTTGCGACTCCTGCTATTTCTGCTTGCTCCTTGCCTTTGAATCGATAGATGATTTGCCTATAATATACAATATGAATAATATGAATCTGTAGAGCAACTGCATTGTCTATTGTTGCTGTCATAAGAGACTCGATCAAAACTTAGCTTTTAACTAACTTTTATGAAAAACCCTTTCGCTTTTGTATTCTGTCCTTACATTGCATTTTAGGCTTTTTAAAGTGGAATGCCATCTGCATTCCCTGAATTGAGGTGCCTATTTCTGTGAAGTACAACTTTGAGGCAGCTCAACCACTTATGGGCAAGTGCACTTGATTAAATCCACTTGCAACAAGTTGCAACCATTTCTTACGTCAGCTTGCCACACCTTTAAACTTGCCCAAAATCCCAATCATAATGTGCTTATATGCCGCACATACAAACACACGCACACATACACAATACCAGAACGACAGTCGACTGCAGTCTAAGCCCATTTGCATTGCAGTTGGCTGCTATTTGCCCCTTCCCCTGGCTCCGCGTTGCATGCAACAGAATATTTTGCACACACTGCCTGACATTTGCATATAAATTGCTGCTGCTGGTGCTGGCGCTGGTGCTGGTGGTGGTACAACTGCCAGAGGCCAAAGTTTTTTAATCAACTGAAAGGCCGTTTAAACTTAGTTAAAAAGCACAAGCGCAAAAAAAAAAGTAAAGTTGAAAAAAAAAGATGAAATTATGCTGAAAGGCAACTGGCAATTTGCCGCACACTTTTATCAATTGCAACATGCGTTGAACCAATCAAAGTGCCCTTCATTCCCATGCTCCCAGTAAAGGACAATAAATTTAATTTGATTTTTAATTGTGATCCCATGTGACATCACATTTAATATGTCCGCAGTTCGCAAATAAAGAAAATGAAATAGATTTGGAAATGCGCAGCAATTCGTCCGCTGGGCACAGTAAACACACACACACACACTCACGTATAGATGTATACATGTATGTTTGTCTGATTCCCACATATTAGCAACAGCAACAACAAAATGTCAAACACTCTTCTGTGCTTACAAGCGACATAAAAAGAATCGAATCGAGCTGAATGGAACTGCGGGCATTCGTAAACATGCGCTACATATACAAATGCATGCATGCAACAAAATAAAAATATAAATAAATGAAAGGAAATTCACATAAAAATAAAATAAAAATATATTTATACATCTGTTTATATAAAATATATATATAGTCACAAAGCCCGCAAAGAAAAATATTCTTTTATTTGTCCAGGACTAAATACTCTAACAAGCAAATTCAATAATACAAGCAAGATTGATAGACGTTATAAATAAAAGTATTAAATTTTACGCAAAATAAAAAATATATATCTAGCTTTATTTGTCGAGATTAAAATAGATTGTATAGGAATAAAAAACAATAATAGCTTGAAGTATGATAAAAGTAGCGTAGTGAAATATAAAAATATTTAAATCAATAATTTTAGGAATTCAAAAAAAAAAATATATATATATATATATATATAAATAAATAAATCTTGTGTAAAGAAACTAATATATATAAATAATATGCCTTATATTGATGGAGCCAGTTTAATATTCAAATAAACTCTATGCGACTTACTTTTCCTTGACTCAATGAAGTTAGACTAATTTATATAATAATTCTATGCTAATGCAACTCAACTCAAATAAACATGACTAGACTCGATAGGCGTTACTTATGTCAAGCCAGAACTGAAGGACTTCCAATAACATTATGCACTATAGTACAGAGGGCATTTTGAAAGTGTTGGCTGGTTTGCACATGTGACCATTTTTTATTGCTCAACGGTTTGTGAGCTTCTATTTATATTTGGTTTTTTTTTTTTAACAAATATTGGCGCACATTGGTTTGTATTTTATTTCCTTCCATTGCCTGTGTCCTGTCCTTTATTCTCTCGAATAGCTGCATGTGGAACACAAGTTGTTGTGCTCTTTTCTTTTCTGTTTTTTTCTGTTTAGTTCTATTGTCACGCTACATTTCATTTGACTGCGTAGCCAGTGAGGAGCGAGAGCTTTAAGGCATCGGACCGGAGAGTTCTGCCCATAAAAAGTTTAAAAAAGTAATCGCATAAAATGTTATTGATATGGCAACTTCTGACGGCGCCGCATAATGCGCCAGCCTGTCTTTCCTTTTGCTCCTTATCAATTGTAATTCTCATTCCAATTTGATTAAAATTAATGCAATATTTTCCCCTGAGGACAGACATTTAAAGACCAACTAGCACATATTTGCATCAGCTCAGATGAAAATTGAGGTAACAACTGTTTCCAGTAGCTAAAACGTCCATTTAATCGTATCCTTAACGAGGATTAACAAGGAAAGATAGTCATAAAAATGGATTTTTTTTTAAGTAAACATGAACTTTTTTAAAAGCGAATGGGATACTAAAATTATTTAAATAGAAGTTATGTAAAAACAAAGTCTGTATATTTTCTAAAACATATTGTATAAATATTTATTAATAACAATCGTCAGTGCTTACCTTTAATTATTTATTTTTTTTTTTTTTTTTCAATTATTAATTCAAAAAATATAATTTAAAGTAGTTTTAGATAATCCAAACTGCTATCTCTCTACGTTCAAGCCACACATAATATACTTTCTGAACATTATTTGAGCTTTAAAACGTAAAATGAAATACATGAAATTGCGTTATACTTCTCCGAGTTGTTTGCACATGTTCTTAAATCTAATATATGTATAATGCGCATAACAAACATAAAAAAAATCAAGTGCTTCAAAGGCAACATGGAATGACCAGTCCCTCAGTCCCTCAGTCCCCTCAGCCAAGCGCCATCCAAATGGACATTGAAAATCCATTGTAAATTCAGTGCCCGCCGCGAATGCAACGATTTATTTATGTATGTATGTATGTATGGGTTTTTTTTATGTATACTCGTTTAGTTGTTGTTTTATTTGTGGTATAGTATTTTCTTTACTCAGCACGTGCTTAAGTGCGTGTAAATAAATACGAACCCTCACACACACACACACATATACAGAGCCACTCAGACACTTGCTTTCAAGCACAACTGAGCAGAGAAAAACAAATTGTGCTGCTGGCAGGTTTTGTTTTTGATCCGGGTTAACTTCAAAGTTCAAAGGCACTACCAAGCACAGAGCACTGGCAGCACAGCGCTAATACCCTGTAATTACCGCTTATTCAATTGAATTTCTATTTATGTTCTCTTTGCAGAGGCCACCTGCTCCTCGGACCATTTCCGCTGTACCAACGGCAACTGCATACCCAACAAATGGCGCTGCGATCAGGAGAACGATTGCAGCGATGGCTCCGACGAGGACAGCACTCTGTGCAGTAAGTGTCTCAAATACCTCTTACACACACGTCACACTATTTATGACATATGTACAACTGAATATAGTGAATGCCTGTCCCAACAATGAGTTCAAGTGCAAGACCGTTGACCAGTGTATTCCCCGCAATTGGCTCTGCGACGGCAGCAACGACTGCCGTGACAAGTCCGATGAGGCGCAATGCAGTAAGCGAATTCGTACTACGTAAACAACTCCACAGCTGGCTAACATTCCCATCCACTGTTCCCATAACTCGCTCTCGCCTAACGTTTAATAAAGTGTTGCGCATAATTTCAAAGCTATGTTGGCAGCTATCCCGCCAGTTCTCTAACCACCGTTTAATCAAGTCGTTGCATTCGCGTATATTCATAAGCACATGACCCTCACACACAGGCACACACAAATACACACACACACGCATCCACATATTGCCAACAATGCGTATATACACATATCGCGCATACGCCACGTTGACTGCGTGACGGCAACGCCTGGCAACAGCGCATAAAGTGCTTAACCCATAACACACACATCACCAGCTCACGCACACAAACATCCCTGGCCTTGGGTGTGCATTACATACATGGCATTCTGGCCACAAATGAAATGAGGTTCAGCTGCTCTTTCAGCTTATTTGGCAGCTGCTGCGTATAAAAGTATTTAATAAGCCCCAAGCTGAGCAAACCAAACACATTTATTAGCAGCTAGTTACGAACACGCTCTCATAGCTCAACAACTCTTCATTTTGTCTCGCTTATTCCCTCTCTCTCTCTCTCTCTCTCTTTCGCTCTCACTCTATGCACTTGACTTTGTCAAATTCGTAGAGGCTCGCACCTGCTCGCCGGACGAATACAGCTGCAAGAGCGGCGTGGGCGAGTGTGTTCCTCTTGCCTGGATGTGCGATCAGAGCAAGGATTGCAGCGATGGCTCCGATGAGCATAACTGCAGTAAGCATATCCTCAGATCAATTCAATGTAGACAATTTTTGAGTTGTAGCTGAAAGTTATAAGTAGAAAAATTAGCATGAATAAAATTATATATTTTAGATAAAAGAAAATAAAAAATAAAAACTTTGTTATGTTAAAAATAGTATATAAAATACTTCCCATCATCTTATACCTTGCATATATTATTTTACTAGATTTATTGATTGTTATTTAGGAATATTGTATTAATGAAAATTCACATTATTATGTATTACATATGTATATGTATATTTAATATTATAAATATAAAGTATTTTCTATGATTTTTTTTTTTTGCCTTTTAATATTATTTACTGAACATATGTTTAAAATGTTTTCGAATATAATTTGAAACGCATATTTGTAATGCATAGTGAAAGTGCATTTAATTTATAAATGTAATTCCCATATAGATTTACATACTTAATTTTCACATAAAAAGAAGTGAAGATTTTATGATTTATTAATTTTTTCAATTTACTTTATTGTCTAACATGCATTTAATCAGATTAAATATTCGGCGAGGTATATAATTTTCAATGTAAGCCTTTCGCATTAATTTATTTATGATGCAAACTCTCAACAATTCCTCTTTTAAAATACCCATGGAAAGTAATATAAATTAATTGGAAGTCCAGCTGAGTTGGCATATTTAAGGGCTGCAATAATTTTAGTTATTGCCTTTTAATCCTAAACAACCATGATGCATATTTCGTTCAATTCACTTTCAATCTTGAGTTCCACAGCTAGCCAATTATTTTAATAGTAATATAGGAAACTCTAGTAAACTAAATATCGATTCGTGTTGTCGATTTTAAATTAATTAATTTATATATTTTAAAATTAATTAAATATATTTTAATTTTTTATACATTTTGTAAATAAAAACAAATTAATTAAAATCGAATCCATACATAACATTAAGAGATTCATGTTAGTATTAAATTATTAGTCTAGAGATCTAGCTAAAGTTTTTCTTCTTATTATTTGCGTTTTATAACTTTGATAATTTCTGCTTAATTTTCTCGCCCGTTTTCTGAGTTCTCTTTCTGTAAGCCAACAGTTTTGAATGCCTTTGGGCTGCACTTCTCTACGCCCATATCCCACACAATCCATTTGCATTTTATCAGTCTATCGCAGTGCTATTATACCCATTATATTCTTTTGCTAACTCACTGGCCACATCATTCATCAAGCGGCCCGCTTCCTACTTCATTTCCTTTTTGGTTTCACGTCTCTTCCTCTTTTGGAGAGGCCTGTGCCATTGTTCAGTGCTTCTTTTTTACTGTAGCTAATCCTTTGTCCTGCCTCTCGTTCCATAGACCAGACGTGCCGCTCCGACGAGTTCACCTGCGGCAATGGTCGCTGCATCCAGAGACGCTGGGTCTGCGATCACGACAACGACTGCGGCGATGGCACCGATGAGCGCGACTGCCCCGTCGTCCCCTGCGACAGCGTCGCGGAGCACACTTGCCCCAACGGCGCCTGCATTGCCAAGCGCTGGGTCTGCGACGGCGATCCGGATTGTCCGGATGCATCCGACGAGCGGGTAAGTTGACTGCAGCCCCAGCGTCGGCATCAGCATCAGCTGAACGCCTGTCCCATAAATTCAAATTTTCTGTGTGGAAAGGTTTGTAGTGGCTGTTAGCAGCCCACGACAACTTTACGTACCCTGTTGCCCATTAATGTATGTAGGGTATATTGATGGGCAAAACAGATATAAGTAAAATTAAAACATCTACATCCTGCATGAGAATAGTTCGCCATGGAAAGAAAACAGGAGTCGGAATATTCTCTTCCATGGGCCTTCTTTAGCTCACTACAGCATGTGTCGTAGTCGAGCTCACTCTCGTCTCCAGGTCTCTTACTTGTTCTGTGTATGTGTGTGAGTTTGTTAGTTGGCCAAAAAGAAAAGCGCCTGGCATATAAATTACAGCCAAGTTGGGCATAACTCAGCGCTGCCAGCTTTGGCAGCTTTTGTTGTCAACGCATAGTACGCATAAAATTGCATTTTGGCCATGGCTAGGAGCGGGTGGTGGTTGCGGGTGCGGGGGCTGCACATAATTTCGTGTGTAAGCAACTAAAAGTATGCAACGAAAACTTTCAGTCAAAAAAGTTGTAACAAGCAACCTAGGCAAACTTTTGATACCCTCTCTTTCTCTCTCTCTGTCTTTCTTTTTCTATCTTTGTTTACCTGGCCACAGTCGTGTGCGAATGCCACTAAGCTAGTGACGCCCTGTTTACCACATGAGTATCAGTGCAAGGATCGCATCACCTGCCTGCACCACAGCTGGCTCTGCGACGGCGATCGCGACTGTCCCGATGGCGACGATGAGCACGCCTCCAGCTGCAAGAACGTGACTTGCCGGCCGGATCAGTTCCAGTGCGGCGATCGCAGCTGCATTGCCGGACATCTCACCTGCAATGGGCAAACGGACTGTGCGGATGGCAGCGACGAGCGGGACTGCAAGCTGGCAGCTCCAGTCAAGAGCTGCAATGCCACCAGCCAATTCGACTGCGGCGGCGGCCAGTGCATTCCCCTCTCGAAGGTGTGCGACAAGCGCAAGGATTGCCCCGATGGCGAGGACGAGCCGGCCAAGAAGTGTGGACAGAACGAGTGCGCGGTGAAGAACGGCGGGTGCATGCACCGTTGCGTGGATCACCAGGTGGGCTACAAGTGCGATTGCCATGAGGGCTACAAGCTGTCAGGAGATGGCCATAGCTGTGTGGATGTGAATGAATGCGAACAGCCCGGCGTGTGCTCCCAGATCTGTGTCAATGAGATCGGCGGCTTCAAGTGCGAATGTGAAGCGGGCTACATGAGAGATCCACGCAACCACACACGCTGCAAGGCAAGCGAGGGACACGCCTCGCTTCTGCTGGCCCGCCGCCATGACATACGCAAGATAGCACTGGACCATATGGAAATGACCTCCATAGTAAACAACACCAAGTCGGCGACTGCCCTGGACTTTGTGTTCCGCACGGGCATGATCTTTTGGAGCGATGTGACGACCCAGAGCATCTACAAGGCGCCCATCGATGAGGGCAACGAGAAGACTGTCGTGCTGAAGAAGTCGTCGGTTACCTCGGATGGCCTGGCCGTCGACTGGATCTACAACCATGTCTACTACACAGACACCCACAAGTGCACCATCGAGCTGACCAACTTTGATGGAAACATGGGCAAGGTTCTGATTGAGGATGCGCTCGACATACCTCGCTCGATTGCGCTCGATCCCATCGAGGGCTGGATGTACTGGTCGGACTGGGGTGCCTCGCCGCGCATCGAGCGCGCCGGCATGGATGGATCCCATCGCACAACGATCATCAACTATGACGTGAAGTGGCCCAATGGCATCACCTTGGATCTGGTGAGGAAGCGCATCTACTGGGTGGATGGCAAGCTGAATATCATCTCCTCGGCCAACTACGATGGCTCGCAGCGCAGACAGATCCTGTACTCGACGGAGTATCTGCGGCATCCCTTCTCCATCACCACCTTCGAGGACTACATTTACTGGACCGACTGGGACAAGCAGACGGTCTTCAAGGCCAACAAATTCACTGGAGAAGACGTAGAGCCCATCACGGCAGTTCACATGGTAAGCCATGCACTATAGCTAAATGATCTGCAGTTCTATGTACTTATCGATCTCTTCCCCTCTTCACAGTTGCAGCATCCCATGGTCATCCATGTGTATCATCCGTATCGCCAGCCCGATGGCATTAATCATTGTCAGTCCGTGAATGGACACTGCTCGCATCTCTGTCTGCCTGCGCCCCGCATTAACGAGCGCAGTCCGCGCATCTCCTGCGCCTGTCCGACCGGGCTCAAGCTCATGTCCGATGGCCTCATGTGCGTCGAGGATCGTAAGTACCTTACTTATAAAACTTTCCTTAATTTTTATATTTTCTGCATGATTCCTTTCTTTATTAATGCTTTTAATTTTTCCTCTATTAACTAAATGCACGTGCAGCCAATTATCAAGCTGTAACACAACCTCCGCGTATCCACAGATTTAAGGCAAAAACGAAATCCCATCAGCGTCTAGTCAAATTGAATAATACCAATATACTAACCGAAACTAACCAGCCAAAGCCTCTCAGCAACAAAGTGCATGGTATGCCCGATAAACCTCATCAACATGTTCTCTGACTGTTGATATCTGTGTTTTTATTCGTCTGTCTGTATACGTATTTATGTGTTACATCTACATCAAGTAGGGTCGGACTTTGCCTAAAATGGTCTTCTTTAAAGTTCCTAGCAAACGATATGGATATGAATATGAATATGAGTATGAATATGAATATGAATATGAATATGAATATGAATATGAATATGAATATGAATATGAATATGAATATGAATATGAATATGAATATGAATATGAATATGAATATGAATATGAATATGAATATGAATATGAATATGAATATGAATATGAATATGAATATGAATATGAATATGAATATGAATATGAATATGAATATGAATATGAATATGAATATGAATATGAATATGAATATGAATATGAATATGAATATGAATATGAATATGAATATGAATATGAATATGAATATGAATATGAATATGAATATGAATATGAATATGAATATGAATATGAATATGAATATGAATATGAATATGAATATGAATATGAATATGAATATGAATATGAATATGAATATGAATATGAATATGAATATGAATATGAATATGAATATGAATATGAATATGAATATGAATATGAATATGAATATGAATATGAATATGAATATGAATATGAATATGAATATGAATATGAATATGAATATGAATATGAATATGAATATGAATATGAATATGCTTATCAATATGATTATGATTATGAATATATAGTAAATTGTTCCTCATCTTTATTTTCGACCAAATGCATCCAGTTAACTCTATAAACTATCTACCATCATTTACTGTTGAAACTTAAAGCTAAAACTAAAGACTGAAGCGAAACCAAATTAATCACTGGCATTTTTAGGAATGCACCGAGCTGCTGCCTTGGCCGACAGCTCTGCGGCGCATTTCCTTTGGGGGTGGTGCATTGGCTACTTGGCTTTTCGAAGTCAAGCACTTCATTCGCCGCTCTGGCATAACATTTGCTTTGTCACGGCTCGCATTAATCATCATCAAAACAGGCAAACACTCAGCCCCAACAGACATGACAGTTTCATAAACGCCATCGAGAGCCACTTGCAACACACACAGACAGAGAGGAAGGTACAGTGAAGAAGAGAAAGAGACAGAGGGAGACAACCGCAAGTAGGCAGCACATTGCAACTGATACGTCAATTAATCCACCCAGAGCCAAACCAGACCAAACCGAGCCACACAGTATGAGGTGAAAATTTGTGCCGTGTCGACTGGCTGCTTTGACTCTTTAAAGTGAAATTCTAGATAAAGCTGATAGCTTTCGCTGTTCGCCTTGATTTAAGATCCAACTTGAATCCGGATTATTCGGCAGTTCGTATCAGAAGCCGAATCCATTAAAGAGCGCGCGCGTTAACGATGTCATTACGCATCCTACGCCATTTAGGTTGCCCGCTGTGTCGCTTCAGCCACCCCTCCAGCAGACAGCACCCCCCTATTTTAATACCCTCGCAGTCGGTGCTGCCGTTCAGATCTTGGCCGGGGCATAAAAGTTTAGCCATCAAAGGCGCGAGCGCGTTTAAGTGTTTATTTGCGCCTAAATGCGCTCTTTGAACGATTTGATTGAAAATTCTTTTGCATTGGCAGGGGAACGAATTGTGTTGACTTGGCGGGCTTCGGGGCGGAAGCGCGAGTGCTGCTAACAATCGCCCCAATGGCCCACAAGCTTTGGGTTTCGCCTCGTATATTACACAATATTTTCTTTTTTTTTTGTATTTCCATTTGCTTTTCTCTTGCTTTTTTCATTATTTTTGCTCATTTCACTTGGCGCCTTTTATTGTTGTATTTGCCTCATTTATATGGCTGTGTCACATCTTGCGCTGTGTGTTCTGCGACTTCTCTTCTTTTGTGATTTACATTCTGCTTTCTGCCCTCCACAGTTGCCGAGCGGAGTCCAGTGAACAACCAAACGCACATCGATCAAACCACAGCGCCCAGCCCGCAGCCGGACTCGGGCTTCATAGCGCTAGTGGTTATTGCTAGTCTCAGTGGTTGTGCGGTGCTGCTATCGGTGGTAAGTTATAGGAAATAATTATAAATTCTAGAAGATTAAGCGAAGACAAGCAAACGAAATATTGCTAGCAAATCTATGAAATGTATCAAATTTAGCAACAATTTCTCTTTGATGTTTTTCGTATAATAATTCATTTATACATATAATAATAGTTACATACGATATATAGCTATATATATTATGTATGATATACTCAAAATATTAGTTGGAAAAAATATATCAAATAGAACTTTTCCATATTTAATATCCCAATCATTTAACTAGGTCATACATATAATTATGAATTTTTGATATCTTCCGTTTGCCTAGAATCAGTGACTATAAAGTTTACCATAAGATTTATTTTGATTTCCTATATACCTAAATCTTCCCTTTTTTTTTGACTTCTTTATTATATAGGTCCTCCTACTTGGCTACCGCTACTGCAGCAAGCGACGCATCAACTCTATGAACTTTGAGAATCCCATCTATCGCAAGACAACTACAGAAGATCATTTCAGTTTGCGCAAGAATCTACCCGCACGTATTTACGATCACACCAGCGTTATGGACGAGGAGGTAATAAATAAATCACAACTAAAACTATTTCAGCCAATGCGAAAATCGTTCGTTTACCCCTTCTCACTCTTTATCTGTCTCTTTTTCTCTTTATAGTACTCACCCGTTATAGGCATATCGTCGTATTAGAGGTTTTGGGTTTATTCTATCTAATCTATGTTTAGAAGCCAATTATAAACCCGCTGCAGACACGCCTAAAGACTGAGCAACTCGTATGTGTAATTATTTTAACCTTATTTTAGCAGCAGTTAAGAGTGAAGGAGGAAGAAGAAGGAGGAGAATCCTTTAAGGATGCTGTACAAAATACGTCACCGAGTTCTAACCTAAACTAAAGCTATAACTAAAACTAAACTAAAGTAAACTCTAAAGATAATTCACATAGTTCCAAACTGTATATAGCTGTAAGTGTGCATTACTTAATTGACAAAAAAAAAAAAAAAAAAAATACTGAACAAACAAATATTTAAAATTATAATATTATCTGATTAATTATCTAATTAATAATTAGAACAAAGCTTTGTTTCTGCTCAAAGTGCAGATCGTTTATTATTATTATCAATATTATTATATACTATTGTTAAGTGTAAATACGTTTCCGAATCAAAGCGATTGAATAAATGCCGATATGTGTAGTATTTAATTTGTTTTACTATATAGCATTTAATTCGTTGTTTTCAGGTTCATCAACAGGTTCTATAAATAGATAGGTTTAGCATGGAAATATGCTAGGTTAGGCTTTAAAATCATTTGAATTGCCAAAATCGACCATCAAATTCAAATAACAAAACAAAAAGTTCTTGAATAATTCAAAGCTTTTTCTCATGGCGACATATTCTCTTCTATCCCTCCAATTGCTATCAAATTTCTCTACGAGTATAGTCGAATATATCACTATATCTACTATATCACGTATCAGTCATATAATATACGAATGACTATAAATGTTTATACAAATTTCCACTGCTGCCAGCCATAATTTCGCCTATCGTAGACCTTATTGTCTGACATTATCGGAGTTTTATGCAACATGCAAATGCCACAAAAATGCCTAATCACGCTATTGGCTAGGCAGTTGTAGCTACATACGTATTTCAGTACTTTCCTTTATTCTTATTGAGAAAATTAATTACAAGAATTTCTAATGAGCAAAATCAAATACGCATTCAAATGCACAAGGTGCTACAATAATGTATAATGTAATACTGTATAGATCACAAAATCAAACTTTAACAATATTCCACTTTCAAATGTATTCGTTTAATATAGTCTGCTTACAACTTTGATATCGCTATGCAATTAACATATGCATGTCATGGTTTCTGACCTATGCCAAGAGCCAATTTATGCGAATAGTATTATAGCAACGGCAAAATTGGTTAGCTATCGTGATCCGCGGCGACAACTGGCCGAGCACTTGGCGAAGAGCATTCGGTTGGTGTCAAATGGGCTTACAACCACCTGACAGCTCTTTGCATTGACTCTTTCACGCACTGGCCTCTTACAATGATTCGTTCGCTCTTGCTGTGCTCATTCGCGCTCGCTCTCTTGCTCTCGCTCTCGCTCTCTCTTGCTTTCGACACAACTGTCAAATGCATTTGTTTTGTACGCGTGGCGATCGTGCGCCGAGTGGCAAACGAGCGAACATCGGGCTGAGTCGTTTACAGTTGGCTCGCATTGGTAGATCAGTCGTTAAACGTCGTGCGTTGGGCACAGTCGTATCGTTGTTACTGGCATTATTACGGGACGTGCACGATATATAAATGCCGGAGTAGCAAATGTCTCCCCAAAGCAAAAGCAAATAACATAAATATTTTGTAATCCAAACGATAAAACCAGAGCGAATAGAGAAAAGGTAGAGAGCGGCATCCAAATGTTAATATGGAATCTATGTGTTAATTGCTAGCGTATGAGATTATTTAGCTGACTTGCGTAAATCTCTCTACTTGTGCGGCATATCCGATATATCTTATGCGGAACACGTGTATTTCGAGGTCGCATTTTTTTGCATTTGCCAAAAAACAAACTAAATATAAAAAAAAAAAAAAAAACAAGAAGTGTATATTAAGAAAATGTTCTTTTTAGTATAAACTAAAATTAGAGCAATGTCGAAAATGTTCTTCAATCGGGCAAGACCAGAAGCTACTTCATTTGGAGTGTAAGCGCCAGGGATCTTCGATAACGATTCATAGATAATGTTTTTTGTACTGTGACTCATATTTGTAGGGTGCTCATGAGTGCGATCCATTCATTTCATAAGCTATTCAGTGTGACAAGTCGAAACTCGTATGCGTTATGTTTAGGGTTTACCTTGTAAAACCTGCATAAGCCGAGCCGAAAGCGTTTGGCCACATGAATAAGTCGTCGCCCTTATATATTTTGCAATATTTATATGCGACTAAGATACCCTGCAATGCCAGGCACCAAATGAGCAGGCATGCCATAAGAATTCCATCTTGATTAAACCTAAATTTTTCTCAGTTTTCACATTTGTTATTCACGTAATTTATTATTTGTCACTTTTTATATTTGCTTATAATTGACCACTTTGCAGGGTATACCAAGCACAGCATACTCCAAGTCAACTCTTGCAGCATTTCGACTTTCTGCAAAATCGTATGATATTTCTTTTTCTTTTATTTTTGCTGTTCCGCAAGTTTCTTTTACTCTTGCACGCTCTTCACATTCGATACAATCCCCAAAAATTTATCATGTCGTTTCGCTCTCTGTATAATTCTTCTTCATTATTATTTTGCTGTTGGCAAGAGTTCGTTATTTTTCTTCTTTTATTGTATCTTTCATTCGTCTGTACTTTTTCTTTCGGACGTCGCTTGAACAGCTGACGTAGAAGTCGCGGTATTATTTAATAATGAATAGTATATAAAATACTCAGGGAAATTGCGTGAAGAAAAGTGAATAAAAAAATGTGTGCTTTTTCCATCCCCATTTCAGAGTGAAAACCCAATTTCGAACTCAATTTAAAATCAATTTATCAATCACAAAGTTTAAGCATAAAATGGATGAACTCCCAGCTACGGCAGACACAGCAACAATTACAATAGACATAAGCGACAGCAACAACAACAATAGCAATTGCAGCAGTAGCAACGCTGGGGATACTCCTCCAAAAGTCAGCGCGTTCTTCAGCAGCAGCAGCAACTATCAGAGCCGGGTGCAGCAGCTGATCAGCTTCAGTTTCACGTCGTCGTTCCATTTAATCTTCATCACATCGATACTGAGCATAAGCAAATTCTGCAATGCCGCCGCCGTGAATGCCGCCCAGGTGACCGCATCGGCGCCCAGTCCCAGTTTAATTATATCAAATCTGAGCGGATCGGCGCTGCTCGAGAGAATCATGAAGACGACGACGCTGGGCCCGCAGCTCGACAAGCTCAAGAGCTCAGCGCCCGCCGCGGCGAACAGCATAAGTGGGAGCAGTGCTGGTGGCAACAGCTTCGGCTCATCCTTCTTCAACAGCAAAGGCATCAACCTGAGCAGGGACTTTTCCTTCCAGAATGTCTCGGGCAAGATAAACACGCCATTGGATATATGTAAGTGAAGTTTATATACAACTAAAACTAAATTGAGCTACTGACTACTAGCGTCTTCAGCTATTTATAAGTGAGCTTCAATGGAAAATGAAAAGGCGAGCTTAGAGCGGAGCTTGAGGCTTCAATTAACTTCACTGGGTGTGCGTGCGACGTGCCCAGACATTTGTTGATTCAGTTTCGCATTGCTCGCCGATCAGGCCAGCGAGCCTCCAATTTCCCAATGTTTATTTATTTAGTTATATGATTTGGTTTATTTGGAACAGCCGTCGACTTCCATCTGACGCGGCATATCGCATGTGTTTCCATGTTAAAGCTATGCTCCAACCGCATTCCACGACGTCACACACACACATTCTGTCTACCTTTTACTTTCCTAAGCCACTCTCCCTACCTCCCTCCCTCCCTCAGTCACTCCCTCCCTCTCTCCTTCTCTCTTTCTATTTCTCTCTCCATCCTTTCCAATTCATGTTTCTTCATTTTCTGCTGCCGGCCGGCATCTGGCTTCCGAGAGCACAGACCTCGGCGGCTGCAGAGAGCAACAAGTGTTTCTTGGTTTCTTTTGTTTCCCTCGCTCTTCTGCTGAATTTGCCTTCATTTTTATTTTATTTTATGTTTGGAGTTATTGCTCTTTGCTTTGAGAGAGGCCCCATATCGAATGGAAGTCGGGCGCACGTGTTGAAAAGCGAAGCAAGCGCTATGCCTGGTATATGAGTGGCCCGCGATATCCGAACCAGTTTCGATGTATAAATATTTATGTAAAGCTTGTCCAAGAATCGGCTAAAACTTCAGTCAGGTAGTCTCAAGAAATTCTCTCTGATCCGCAAATAAATAATAAACCTGGCTATAAGAGGAATATAAATTTGCAAGCAATATATACTTACATTTCAAAATATTCTTAAGTAACAATCGCCAGCGACTTTATATCTATAACTGTGCAAACTAAAACCTCAGCACTTCTTTACTACGGCAAATCGAGACACGACTACCAGACAGAGTATTCAATATTCGTCAGCTCGCTAGTTTCTTTCTTAACGTATATCTAAACCAATATGAGGTATACTAATAAAGAAAATACTAAAACAAAAACAAAAACCATTATGAAACCAATCGGTTTAAAAGAAACCTACAAAAAATAAAAAGTGTTAAAAACCGAGAGCTGTTATTGAAAACTGTTAAAAACTAATGAACAACTTGACCTCAATGCACTCAAACATCCACTTTCTGCGTTTCCGTTTGATTATTAACATTCGCAAAAACCCCAATTTAAAAAAATATGAAATAAGCCTTCAACTTGTCGAAACCTAACCTTAAACAAAATGATCTCAAGCACAGCGAATTTGGAGTGCAAAACAAAAGCTAGAAGAGGTGAAAAGTTAAAGCTATAAAAAAATGACAGCAATAGGTTCGAGCCGGTCACTGGATCACATTCGGGGTATATTAGTCTAATAATAATAACATTGCTTCTTGCTTGTCTTGCAATTCTATAAATAATTTACATGCCGAATTTGCAATCGAAAAAAATGACTTACCAAATCCCAAATATAGCCAGCCAAAGGGTAAAGGCCAAATGTGTTTAAGGCCAGCAAAAATGTCACTTAACCCAATTGGCTGCTCATGAAACAGTTAGAGGTCACTGAGTAACCTCCATTAGTACACTAACACATAGACTTGATCCCATAAACTAAATTTGTGAACTTGGCTGATATCAAGTTTTGTGGCCATGTCCGCTTCTTATCCCTATCCAAATTTAAGGCTGGTACCACTAGACTGTATGACCTATTTCAATATAAAGCAGTAGAATTTTTAAAGTGTGCCTTTCCTAAAAATAAATCAAACTAAATAAATAAAGCTCGACATTTTCATAATGTCAGCTGGATGCTTATTATTTAGTCATATCTTCGTAGCACTTTTAATTTTGGCAGGCAGCTGCAAGTGGCGGCAGCTTCAGCATCTGTCGAAAGTGTTAGCCAACTCATGATTGGCAAATGAAAATTGTCAACTGTTATTTGGTTGATGCTCAAATTGGAAACCGCAAAACCAATCGAAGTTCCCGGCACGTTTTCAAACAGTCTAATGAACGTCAGGCACAGACTCACATTCAGATGCGCAGCCAAAACGGAAACCAACAACAACAAAAAATAAGTTCACTCCAGTTGGACAGTGTAAGGGAAGGGCCGACAACGCTGATTTATTTTAAAATCGAATTTAAACAAGTTTCGAGCTGGCATCATCATAAAAACAACAGCAACAGAGGCAGCAGAGCTTGCAGCGAGAACTCGGCGTCCTCGGCCAGACTTCAGTAATTAACTTGGCTAATTATGCTCAAAAATGTGCACGTGCTGTGGGCCGCTAATTTCAGACTGTACCCAGCTCGCTGCTGCTAGCTGACAGTTTATGCATTTCCGTTTCAGCTTAATTACAAAACGCATTTTACCTTAGGCATAATTATGAGGGGAAAAATTGAAAACAAAAACAAGTTGCGAATGAAACAACTTTTGGCTGATGAAGCCAAAAAAGTGTAACAACATGCGGCAATTGTTTGTGTATTACAAGTTACACTCATTTACATACTCACACAGACACAGACACACACATACACTCTTGGAAAAGTCACTTCACACTTTGCTACATGTCGTAGTCTTTCATAACAGACACAATATGTAAAAAAAAAATAAAACAACAACGGCAAACAATGCATTCATCTTATTGTAAAGATTTCAATGTTAAACATCTCGTTGCTAAAGTTTTTCATACTCACTTATTAGCTTTAATTATTGAGAGAGAGAGAGAGAGAGAGAGAGAGGGAGACAGTGAGAAAACCAGCTCTGTTTGACAGTTGTGTGAAAAGCGCTTAAAGCGAATGGCTAACAGTTTGCCAAGTTAATTATTTGACTAAGATGTTTGCAGTTTACCCAAGATATATATAGGTCCCAGCCAAATAAGTCATTGGAATTGTGCAAATTCTAGTATTATAAGTGGATATAATTTACATAGGTGAAATAGACAAATGGGTGAAAAATCACACTGGCCTGACCTACGCGCAATATAATGAATATGTATATGAATATATAACATATGATATATGCTGAATATAAATGGGCAGGTATTCTGCTTAAGTTTTCATCTAACATCAAAGATTAAAATTCTGATCAAAATTGAATTGATTTCATCTTTACCCCATATAACTTTAAACCTGCTAGCGAGCAGCTATATGGAAATTACTAGAAATCGCAGTTAAATGCGAATTCTGTATTATAGTTTCGATACCCACAAAAATGTAGAAATACTCTTAAAGGCGAATATATTATATTAATATATGTTTAATTGTCTCCAATTTATAATCAATAATCCTATGATATGAACGGCTTTATTGTATCGCAAATCGACCTCTAATTACGCATTATCAAGAAATTTGCAAGCTACTAGAATACTTAGAGAACAATTCAGGATAAGGGCAGTGAGTCAGTTGAAAAGACTTTATCAACAATCTGATGAAAACCACGTAATAGTCAGCCGCTAGCTAATGTATACAAACTAATCAAATACACTATGCTAGCTGTAATCTTATCTCAACGAAATGGTTTCCCAACGAATATTTCGCAGTGATTGAATTCCAAGTAATTCAAAACTGATGGGAAAAACTAAACAAATTCTCTTATAATGCAAAAGTTTATTTATGAAATTACTCGCAGTCTACACTCAGTTGCAGTCATCAAGGTGTACGTGGCCGCATTAGAAGCACACGCATACGCCATGTATGCCACGAAAATGGGCTAGAAATAATAATTAGACGAATGGCGTGATTTTCGCTATTTCGCATTTTTTTTTTTTTTTTTTTTTGGCAAGTGTATTTAGAGATATGCGCATGACTCGACGACATTGTTTACATATTCGCAATAGGGAAACGTTGCTACTAATTTTGCTTTTAATTAGAAAACACAATTCTCTATGGTCGGAGGCGTTTGCTCGTGACGTCGTTGTGTGCGATTCCATTCAAACCGATAAACACGATTCGATCATCATTCGAATTCGGGACAGATGAACAATGTGTGTATTCAAATTGCATAGCTGATTCATGGTTTTGTTCGGGCCAAACAACTGTTTATTATGGCAATTGCTGGCTCTGACGTCATTAAAAGATCAGGCCACCTTTTTTCGAAATAAACACAACACACGCTTAATACCTCATATGTTTTGCGAGAGCTACAGCGAGAGCGAGAATTCAACTAAGAGCAACTTTGAGCTTCATACACAATATAAAAAACAAAAATTTAAAATTTATGTGAAACTCTCTTAAAAAACTCAAGCCAGCCATAAATTAACCTGGCCATAATGGCAGGTAAGCCAAGTCACAAACCTTCGATTCGCGATTCGCATGATTCTAGCTCAACAACAATTCACCAAAAAAAAAAAAAAAAAAAAAAAAAAATACTATGTTGTTTATCGTAATTGCAGGCATTTTTATCAGCGATTAAAAGCAGCCATAAAAAATTATATATATAAATAAACAAATTAACTGATAAACAATACAGAGATAACAGCTGACAAAAATTTTCCAATTTTTACTATAAATGCGCAACGCATGATGCAATGGTTAAACGATTTCTTTTCCCATTATTCAAATATTTTCATTCATCAAACCATCATTAGAGTAATACATTGCTTAATAATAACACACTATTATTATCATTATAGTTAGGCAAGCTAAAAATTAATTGGAAAACAAACTGAAATACGCAGGAGTCTTTCCTTCATGGTTCATAATATTGTAAATATAATTACATAACTCGGCTGATAAGCTATCATTTGGCTAACACGGTTTTACTAGGGACACAACTGCTATTTTGCAACTAAAATTGATAAGAATAATAATCTGGTTAGCCTTCGTTTCGCTAGACTGATAATTCGAGCTCCATAATATATAAAAAATATCAAAAACAATTAACTCTTGTTAAACAAGTAAGAAAGCTCTAGTTGAGACTACTCGACTACGAGATCCCCTGAACCCTTGGAGTAATAGCTATTTCAATAATTTTTCGCGTCTTTCAGCTTACACAAGAAACACGCACACACACACATACACACGCACGCACGCACGCACACACAGGCATACATACACATACACACACATACATACACACATACACACACACACATACACAAACAATTACATACATATACACACACAAGCATAAACACGCATGGGCGGCAGTGAGCGCTTACTATGAGAACTTAATTGCTTAATAACTTTTTTGTGGACGTACGATCTTCATGAAACTTTCAGATTATGATTATGACATGGATATGCATGTAATTGCCAAAGCACAAGTCTCTAGTATTTGAAATACGCTTTTTACAAAAGTGTGGGTGAGGGGGTGAATTTAAGGGTGGGGGGTAAATTTTAAGAAAAACCGAAATTGTATAAATTGCATATAGGCATACATTAAAAATTTGGAGACTCTAGCAATAAAGGTGTAGAAGATATAATTTTATAACTGGTTTTCGATAAGGTTTTTTATCGATAAAAAAAATATCGAGATGAGTTATCGATTTTTAATGATAAACTTGATATGCGCGCTGTAATTACGAACATTTAAAAAAAAATTTGAAGTCTCTAGCTCTTATATCTTCTGAAATCGACGCGTTCATACATACGGACAGACGGACAGACGGACAGACGGACGGACGGACAGACGGACAGACGGACAGACAGACGGACAGGGCCAAATCAACTCAGCTCGTCGCCCTGATCAAGAATATATATACTTTGTGGGGTCTGCCACGCCTCCTTCTGCCTGTTACATACATTTCAATAAAACCATTATACCCTGATTTCCCATTGAAAATGGGTTCAGGGTATAAAAATCTAATAAAAAATTGTCGAAAATCGATAAGCAAAAATCGAATTTTAAGAAACCAATATGCTTTTCTTACCATTGCGAACGAGTGCTCAAATAAAACACGATAAAGTCCAAAGAGGAAAATGAAGTTGTCAAATATCTAATCATAGCTTATCACGTAATGTGAACGGGTGATTGGGGCAAAGTGCGCCCTAATGATGGGCAATGTCAGTACGTAATTGCCGAATGCTAGCTAGATAATTATGACTTGAACTATGCCCCTGAATAAATGTCTATAGATATGTATGTAAAGGCATTCGCCTGGCCATGCGCGTTCGCAAAGAATTTTTATTGATTTAACCAATTGATTGACTTTTGCGCTGATTTCTCTGTTTATTATAAGTACCTCCTCTTCGACAGACCCCACTGCGGTCGCCAACTGCTTTATTGAGTTAATGGCGTGAATTTCCATGAGAATCGCTCCCGGAGGAGGCCAAGCCTCCATTTGGTTGATTGATTTTTGGTCTCGGCAGGCTGGCAAAACTGTGCTATGAACCTGCACCAAGACACGCACTTAATTGCCGCCTCAATCAGATGCGAGGCGTCAGACAGCATTTGTCAATCAAATTGGCTTCAGCTGCTCTGTTCTGGGCTTTTGTGGTTTGCTGTAAGTTGCGCTGAATTCTTGTCGGAAAGTAATTTAATTTATTCAGCCTGTAGCTGGTGAAGGGCAAAGATAGCGGCGTAGGGCAAATAACGCATGTTAAATGAAAACTATTTCGATTTCAAGGCCAGGAAATTGGCAATCAAATCAATATTTACAATCTACCGCCATCAATCCTCATTTATATCAGTGAAAGGTCCAATTGCCAGATATGGAAAGCTGGAAACTGTGTGCTGGAACTTGGAATACATGGAAGGAGAGATAGTCCTTCTAGCAATACTATACAGGATGTATGTTCATTAGTATTGGAAATAAACACCATTTCACCTGTGATGTTGATATGGAAAACCATCCTACAAAACAGTTCATATATCTATAGCGAATGTTATCTATAAAGAATCCGCTATATGTTAATAAAATGTCATAGAAATTAGAGATTAGATAATGCATATTTATGTTTGCTTCATGCTTTTGATATATTAATTAGGGAATTTGGATTAGGTTTATATGGAGTCCAATAATTCACTTGATAAACATTCCAAATATTTCGCATTCATATCAAACGAAATAAATCACATTTTGATGCAGATTTATATATGTGTGTGTATACATATATTTTAAGTTGACTATTGTGTTTAGATCTGACATAAATTTGTATATTCGAATTGTGCATCTAGATATTGTAGAGCAATTTCAATTAAGCAACTAAACGACTCACTTAAAATGCAAATTGCGTGGCGCACACAAAGAGGCGCACTTAGAGAAACATAGCGAAATTGAGAGAGGGAGGGAGGGAGAGAGAGAGACAGAGCAAATAGCTGCAACATTTTCCCATTCACACAATGAAACGAACGAAAACTCTTTTCATTTCATATTAAAACGAATTTGCCATGCACAAAAAATTAAAATATACCAAATATATTTCAATTTTTTTAGTGAATTTATGCGACGCTTTTAAATAATTGAGATGGTCCTAACGCGACTTTTGCTCATCGGATCATGGTGAATTTAAAATAAACTATAAATGAATAATAAATATACACACATCTATAAAGCTAGTTTTTAATTAAATTGTAACTAGTTCATGTAGTAGAAAATTCGTGGCTGTGGCTACTAGTTTGTTATGTTTACATTTAGGAATTTCTGTGCTTTAACAATGAAATTTAAAATACATACAGACACATGCAAACGCATGCATACGCTTTCTTTAATTAAAAGCACAAAAGTAGAAAAATGTTTATGAAAATTACATTTTGTTGCTGCAAGCTCAGAATTTCGCATGATAACGAAGTAACTTTTGCTTTCAGTGTCGAGTCACACACACCCATACACACACACCCACACACACACATACATACATACATACACATACATAACAGACATTGCGTGCATCTCTAGCAAATCGCTTAAGCCATTATCAATTTGTGTTGAATACGCACAGTTTAATGTCAAATGGCATATGGTTTTGCCAACTTGAAACTGTTTTGGATTAAGCAGCTGTTACACACATAGACATACACACACACATACACGGCTAATTTGTAAATCCGCTCCCAGCCACACACACATTCACCTACGAAAGCCGTTGAAACTTTAGCTATTTTATGGCTAAACGGAAATACGACTGACGCCATTTTGTTTACAAGCGAGTTTGTCGCAAAGCTCACAGGCAAATGCCATAAACGATTGATGAGTCCCAGTTGTGGGCTTATGCAGCGTAAGAGCGCAAGAGAGATGCCAACACAAACACACACAGTCACACACACAGTGCCATACACGCACACACACACACACACATAACACCTACACGCCGAATGTCATCCTTTAAGCTCGCTTTGTATTTGCGCTTATTAATTTCAAAAATTTGTGTCCTTTTGTGTATGACGGCATATTTTGCGGTTAGCCCCTTTCAAATACAAGCAAACACACACACACACACAAACATACGCCACACTTTATTATTTACAAGTTTGTTGTTTATTGTCAGCTTTTTGGCCCCGACCTTAGCAAGGTCTTAAAGCTTGTCAACGCTGGAGAGCCACAAAAGCCGCCTCTCACCCAGCCCCGCCCTCTCCCCCCACCACTAACAAAATTTTAATGTGCGCCGTTGTGCGGTTCGCAGCGCTGTTAACGAGCCAAAGTTTTCAACTTAAATGTTAGTTATGAATTTGATTAGGCCACGCAGAAACGGAACTTAATGAATTAATATGCATTTGATTTATCATATATCTTCTCTCCTACTCACACTCTCTTACTCACTCTCTCTCTCTCTCTTTCTTATTTTCTCCAGCTCAAAGCCTGCCACACTATTGCGATGAGAAACAGTTCCACTGCAAGCAGAGCGGCGAATGCATACCCATTCGATTCGTCTGCGACGGCGAGATAGACTGCAAGGATCACAGTGACGAGCTGATCGAGCAATGTAAATTTAAAGGTAAGTCTGAGCTACACTTAGAGCAGTTGTTAGCATTATTTTGAGGTCGTTTTGGAGCTGCTGGGGCAGCAAGCGACTCCACTAGACAAATGGATTTCATTCAAGCTTAGTTTTGCTGGCGCAAAGCAAAGTACAAACAATTTTTTATTTTAAGCCTTGCCTAGGCCAAAGTCAAGACACATGGCTGTGGACCTGAATGAATGGCTACAGCTGTTGTCTGTGCGCTGCAATCTCCGCCCCTCGACCCCTCGGGCCCTGGACCACCCCAAAAGCCAACTCAATCTATCCTCTCTCTCTCACACTATAATCTGTTGTCAGTCATTTTGTAGTTTTTCAATTTAGAAAATGTCACAGAACTAACCATTTACTTAGCTGCTGTGCGTGTTTCTTTGTGTGCTCGTGTGTGTGTGTGAGTGTGTGTATGTATTTGCTTTTGTATTGGTTTTTGGTGTTTCACTATTTGTTTGGCTTCGTTGTTGAGTAAGTAACAACTGGCTGTTTATTTAGTGTCATGTTAGGTGGACACTCAACAGCCCCAAACTGAATTTGTTTTCGTTTAATTTTTAGCCTTATTTGAATTTATCTAGAGATATATTTTTATTTCTCTAGCTCTTTCTCTCTCTGGTTTGTGTTTTTTTATTAGCTCTCCATATTTAATTTACAGTTTCTGGTTTATTCGTGCTTCGTTTCTTCCATTTGGCAGCACTTTTGTTATTTTGTGTTGCATACTTTTAGGGATGACACTTAAATAAGCTACTAAACAATGAGGTCGAAAATGTTGGGTATACCTAAAGATTTAGTGTCATGTTAAAACAAATACTAGAATTTAATATTATATATGATGATAGGAATATAATATAAAATAATATTTCAGTTGTTTAGAGAAATATAGAATTTAATAATTCAAGTCTCAAATTAAAGAGAATAGTAAATAATTTTTGCTTTGCTTATATTAATATTTATTCTACCTACTCATGCATATTAAATATTATTTTGTATCCGACCATTTTCCGTTTCACACTTTAAAGAATAATTTCAATTGGCTCAAGATAAAAGCCAAGCTCAGCAAACTGAACTGTAATTACGAAATGTTTCCCATAAACAAGAACCTTGAGCCCCGCTGTGCTGTGAGCGAGGCACAGAGCTTAGCAAATGAGCGTGTGGCAAGTGCGGAGGGAACTTACGACGCTCACAGCAGCTAAGCACAAGTTGAGTCTTATTTGGCGAGCATTTAAAACAAGTCAAGTGCAATCCAACTAAGCCATTGCATCATGCTGCCAGCGTAGCGAGAGCTTCAAACGAGTTAAGCCCAGAGCTGAGCAGAAAAAAGCTTAGCTAACTTGACTGTGGCTCAACACGACAATGTTACTAGCAATATATTTACGATAGGTTTATATAAATAAAGTGGTGAACTGCATAATTGCAGTAGAATATTGTATTTTTCGGGCACATGATTGATATAACGTGTGCAGCTGAGCAACTCTATATTACATACTCGAAATCACAATTATTATCTATCAATCTAAAAAATGCGATTTAAAAAAAAAATAAAAATAAAAAAAAATAATATATAAATAATAAATATAAATTTATATATAAAAATAATTATTTTAACTTTAATAAAAACTAACTAAAAATTAATTGCTTTGTTATTGAAAATTAAAAACGCAGAAAATAAAAACAATTTATGAAAGCAGAAGAGAAGCAATCTATTACACTAATTCAAAATGGACTTTGAATATTTGTATTAAATATATATTAGATAAGGGTTGTGCTTTACCTACTGATTAGTGTGATTAATAAATAAATATTATATAAAATAAATATTATATATAGTATACCAAATTCACGTTTGCTTACAGCATGAAGAATAATCTTGAAAATAATTCCAAGCAAATATAATAACAAACGATGCACAGGCTTTGATTTTCGAATAATAATTCGAAAATTTTTAGTAAAATAATATTTAAGCAAGATAGATTACAAATAATGTATATAGAAAACATTTATAGAAATAAAAACAATATTTATTTATTTATATTGAACAACACTTTCCACAAATTGACAAATGCAAAAATAGTTTTGTATATAATCAAAATATTTACAAATTTCGCAAAATTCAATCGCACATTTTCAAGTGGAATATTGTCTGTGGCTGATGCAAAAGGAAGTCGTAAGGTCACTTAGTACTAAGTAGCTGTAGTGCTGATGTAGCACATATAATCCAATAGACTCTCCGACTTATCGCGCACTTTACAATTGCGACTTAGCAATTATCAATGAAAATGCATAAAAGCAGAAAGAGAAAGGAATAAATGATGTGAATGGGAGGTGTTGCTCCCAAGAATTGTGATACAGAGCAAAGATAAAGCGGTTCAAACTTGACTCATTTCCCCATATATACATCTAGATATAGATAGATTTATCTAACATATGTACGTACATATATATGGTATTCCCCGCTCAGCCAGCACTGCTGGGTCAAGCGTCTGACTGCGTCAGAAGATGAATTCTTATCGCTTTTCTTATCGTTGAGTAGTAATGCGTCTCAGGCTAATTGGACAACAAAAAATAAGCGAAACTAGTACAAGTACTAGTTGAGCAACTGGATTAACACAAATAGAATATACCCTATATAGGTATATATATACATATATATGAACTAGTTTTTAATATTGCCAAAGCCTATGTATACACATGAGGTGTATAACTATGCTGAAAGAATACCCCTAATATAGACTAGTTTTTATTAGCTTATCTTAATATCAAGTTGTATGTAATATATTATGGAGTAAACAGAACTAAAGTAGATATAAAATTATGAATATAATTCAAAATGAAAAATGAATAACATATATTGACCTCATTCCCATGTGGCAAAGTGTCATTAAAACTAATCGACTTCCAGATAATTATTTAGATCTGTTTGGGTTTACGTACAGATTTGGATTTTTGTTGACAAATAACAGCTGATTAGGAATATAGACAGCATTTGGAAGCATGAGCCACTGCTTGATAAGCGAGCGGCTAAGCATTTCCTGACTCACAACGGTAGAGTACACTCAGCCACAGACACTCACTCACAAACAGTTGCACTCAGTTGAACACTCTTGCACTCACTCGCTGGCTATTCCACTCCGCATTGAGTGTCTGGCTCTGGGCTCTTATCAACATTGGTTGAGCGCAAACTCGGCAAGCGCTCACCGAATTGCCTGCTGCTGCTGGATGCTGGATGCTGGATGCTGCTGGGCGGGCAGATTTCTATTTTTAAGATACGCCGCGTTGCGCTCAAAACTCAGTTGGCAACGAACTTTCCATTCAAACGGACGTGTGTGCGCAGCAGGACGAGCCTTCAGGCAGCTGACCAGGAGCGCAACAAGAACTGAGCCTAAAAAGTCGAAACTCAAGTAAATTAAATGAGGCAATACAAAATTCATGAAAAACAAGTGATAATAAATAGACGAAATTATAAATATTAAAAATAATGTTAAATAATACTACAAAGTATAATAATATTAATTATAATAAATAGTTTAATGTGCGTGTGTGTTTGCTCTGTGTGCCATCGCATTGGCGCCAACTCGAAGTGGACACAATTTTGGTTTTTGGCGTAGCTTTGGCTTCTTTTTTGGCCTACAGTGTTCCACTTGGCTTTTCACGCTTCTGCGCGTCGTTTTGTTTTGTTGCGTTGCTTACTTTAGATTTCTCTTAGCAGCTGCTCTTAGCAGACAGAGCTCATATTTTGTATTTTGATTTTGGCTGTTTGTTTGGCATTTCATGAACTTGACACGAATATCCTGGCATCATCCTCAACAATTGCCGTTGACACTTGTGCTGGCCACGCAGCTGTTAAAAGCCATAAGGTTCACATTATAATAATTAATATTCAACAACAATAATAACAATAACAACAACAACAGCAATGGCAAACAAACAAAATTGTAACAAGTGCAATTAAAATTAAACAAACACACACGCACCCACATACTTTGAGAATGCGGCTTACAAATAAATCACAATGAAAATAAAGATAATTATTAAACAAATATAGAGCCGGGCCGCAGCTTAATTAAAACATTTACTTTATACATCAGCGACGAAAGATTAAAATACAATTAAATAAAAGCAAATTATGTTTGCATACAAAAAGTGCAATAAACAAACGTAAATATGGAATGAAACGCGTCGAGCATTAATGGAAAAAGGCGAAAGTGTGGCATTCGAAATAAACAGAAAATATTTTAATTTAAATAATAATTGAAATCAACACGGCACGAAGGCAAATATTTATCCTTAACACAGAGCTCAAAGCTTCTAAAACGTCAAATCAATTATTTATAATGTCATCAATAGATTAAACTAAATTGCAATTCATGACTAATTAAAATATAAATACTAATAATAGATCAATTTCAAATGAAAAAGCAAATAAAATAAATAAATGAAATCACTAAATAAAATATATAAATATACCAATTTAATCAGCTAAATTTTGTTTGACAAATGAATTCTGTCTTGTTTTGCTATATATATATAAATTGGCCTCAATAAAATTTACAAATTATAAATTATCGAATTAAAATGTATTAAATAATTTGCATATTTTAGTGCTATTAATATATATTTTAAAATAATGTATATTTTTTAGTTAATAAAAAAAAAAAACACCATAATTAAAAATCCGAATTATAATTACATCGTAAACATGCGTCCTTCAAAAACATCATAAAAAGTATTGCCTACTTTTCAGCGCCAGTTAACATAACAACTTTTGTCTAGCAGAGAACAATATAAAAAGAAATCCATTTAAAATAATTACGAAGAACAAGCGAGCGGCAGAAGGGCAATAAACAGAAGAAACAGCCAAATAATTGAATAATTCAAACACGCACTTAGACCACATTATAATCTAATACAATTTAACGTCTGAGGCCGTGCGCAAACCAGCCGCCAAAGTTGGCAACATGGGACTACTACGCAGCTACCCGATTTGCCAGCTT